CAACTTGAACTTAGACTTGTCAATTCAACGTTGGCAAGTGGATTTGCCACAATTTTCCAGCTAAGTCTTGACAGGAAGAGCTGACCGAGCTGGCAGATGCCCTGAGAACGGCCTATCCTCACTACGGCCGGGCTGTTCACTACATAGCTCAAATAACAGGTCGTGCTTCGCTGGCGAGAGTTCCCGCGCCTCGCCTCACCTTTCTGCAGAGTTTGGCCAATCGTCCCTCGACTGAATCTCAAGCAGTATGTTGCAGACGCCATCCCTTGCATTTGTGCTGTGCAACGAGGCTTCTCGGTGCACGGACAACGTGCGCCGCCAGCGAGGGCAGCCGCCCGCGCACAGGTTTTGCCGATGCGTGTCGTTTTCCATAGAAGGCTGTAATGGCTTTGGCAAAGATGCGGCGTCAACTGTTCACAAATCAGCCGGAAAAAAATCGTTGCTTCGAGGTTCTGGAGCCAGACAATGCCTCCCCTTTAAACAACCCCAAAGCACAGAAGCTTCCCATTCAAAAGCCGCTTGGCCGCAAGCTTGCCAATGGCTCAGGACTCAGCAGACCTTTGCTAGTCATGCCCGCTGAAACCATGAATAAGTCACGAGTTCGTCCGGGCAAGTTTGCCTTGAAAAGCTGGTTCGCAAATGCGAGAAAGCAGATGCTGCTAGTACGCTTCAGGATCGGCAACCACCTCCTGAAGAAGTTTCGACATGCCTATCGGCACTTTAAGAGGAAGCATGAACGTGCACGAAGCCTGAAGAGACCGAGGGACGAAGTGGTCCGGTATCGCAGGAAGAGATACTGCTGCAGGCAGGCTGTGGTTCTCGCCCGAACGGGCCTGAGAGGCGCTGCGGCTCTACTGCAGAAATTGAAATGACGTGCGGAGCCTTGCTGTATATAGCTTCTTTTGCTCCGTGGGGCAAGTTGGCTTCCGAATGAGATGTGTGAACAAACTTCAACCCTTGAAGTTTGTATTGGTTTGCGGGCTGAACAGTGCAACCGAGAGCTGGCTCTGAGGCGAACTCGAAAGGAATTGGCGCGATCAGAGTTCGAGCGACATGTCGGGTTGTTGTCTACCGCCTGCTAATACACCTGACGCCTGACGCAGGACTGCCGTACGAGATCTTGGAGTCTGACTTCTACATTACGGGTATGGATGGCAACCCTCCCGGGATTGGCTGGCGGCAGATACTCCAGGTCACCGAAGAGGGCCAGCTCTGTTACCTGAACAGAGTGGTGAAGGGCTTCGAGGCGCAGGCAGCGCCGAACTCCAGCCAGAAAACCAAGGACTGCTTCTCTTCGTTACGAGGGTTTTATTCGGCACGATTTTGCGTAGTTTGTTGAGTCATGTCGGTCAATCATGTGCCCTGTAAGAAAGCGGCCCAGATGCCGCTGGAGAAGCATCAAGAGTTGCTGCAGTTTTCGCAGATGTGGGTTGGAGCTTTGTCGGCTTTGCGAGCGAAGTTTGATGAGAAGACTATGACTCGCCTCGAAGAGATGTTCATGCAGGGGCTGCTCAGCTGCATTATTTGGCATTCTACGAGTGTCCATATCTTTAGGTTGTGAATGCGGATGGATTGTGGGGAGTAGGGAATACTGCGGCGAGAAACTCCCTAATTGGCTCAGGGATAGCATTCTTGGGGGGACTGGAATTGCTTTCGGGCGGCCAAATCCATTTGGCTGGCTCTGCCATGGGGCTCAGGGATAGCATTCCCCGGCGGACTAGATTGCTTATTTTTAATTTGGGACATCCAAATCCATTGGGCTGGCTCTGGGGCTCAGGGATAGCATTCCCTGGCGGACTGGCATTGCTTAAGGGATGTGTTCGACGAGGGACTACTGTAGCCAAATTGGATTTGGCCACCGAGATCGTGACTGGTTTTACAGAAAACCAGTCGCGCAGCCGGCGGCCAAAGCCATTTGGCCACCGAGATCGTGACTGGTTTTACAGAAAACCAGTCGCGCAACCGGCGGCCAAATCCATTTGGCCACCGAGATCGTGACTGGTTTTACAGAAAACCAGTCGCGCAACCGGCGGCCAAATCCATTTGGCCACCCAGATCGTGACTGGTTTTACAGAAAACCAGTCGCGCAACCGGCGGCCAAAGCCATTTGGCCACCGAGATCGTGACTGGTTTTACAGAAAACCAGTCGCGCAACCGGCGGCCAAATCCATTTGGCCACCGAGATCGTGACTGGTTTTACAGAAAACCAGTCGCGCAACCGGCGGCCAAATCCACATGGCGATTTTGACTGGATTCCTGGAAAACCAGTCGCGAAATCATAGGTATATGGAGGTCTCAGTCGCAGCTTGGACTATTGAATCCGAACACCAGCCGTGACTGACATCCACCAAGACCAGTGATTCTGTGACTGGTTTTCTGGAAATCCAGTCGCAACTCCGGGTGTCTAGAAACAGCTTGGTGCTTGACTGGTTTTAGGAGGTTTTGGGGGGTTTGTTGTTTTTTCAACTTCCCTCCTACCTAGCCAGGACGAGCCCGCATTGCAGGGTAACTTCGAACCTTAAACCCTAAACCCTCAAGAGCAGGATAAATAGAAATTGTGTGTCTTTCGCTTCGATATGGATTGCATCTTCGATATTTTCGAATTTTCCTTAAACGTGTGCGTGGAAAGCCACACCCGCCCAGGCCAGTCCTGCCCAGCCTAACCCAGCCCAATTCAGCAGCTCCCAACCAGCCCCAGGTCCAGCCCCGCCCACAGCCCAGCAGCCAGCCCCAGCCCAGCAGCACCCCAGCCAGCCCCAGCCCAGCCAACCCACCCAGTCCCCCCAGCCCCCCAGCCCAGCCCCCACCCAGCCCGCACCAGCCAGCTCGGACCCCAGTCCGCCACCCAAAATGAAAGTTTCAAGTCAAAAAACAAAACCTGCTCAGAACTTTCGGTCAAAACGTTTCGGTCAAAACTGTCCCCCAAATCCCAGAAACCAAAATTCAAAAGCAAAACCCAAAACCCGGCAAAACCCCCAAAAACTCCGGACCCAAACCCTATACAATTTCTATGAACCCCTAAACCCTCAACCCCGAAACTGATCTGTGCAGGCTACTGGACACGGACCTTCGCGGGCAGTTGCACGGCCGGGACAGCTTGAACGTGGACAAGCTTCCTGTGGTCTTGGAAATGGAGGGAAAGGTGTCAGAAGCCTTTGTCCTCAACTCGCAAAGCAAGCTCAACAACGCGAAGCACGCCGCACTCAAAGCCGCCTACCAGGTGTGGAGAGAGGAGCTGAAAGCCGACCAGCTGAACCATGAGACAATGGTCCGTTCGTGCCTTTCAGAAAGCGCAAAGCGCAGGAATGCGTTGCTCAGGTCCTTGGAGGCCGGAGGTCCATAAATCCAACGTTTCTGTCATGTGCGTTGCCCCGGGTGAGCCGTGGACAGGAGGCCCACCACCGAGCCTGGGCAATGGTGGAGGACCACTGTGCTGCGCGGGCAAAGGTCTTTGGGACCCCCGCGAACCAGCTCAACGACGCGGTTTCGTGGCAGCAATCAGCACAGACTCGCCCGGCGCAGCAAATCAGAGGAGATGCTTGAAGATGAACCAAGGTGATGCCGACGATCCTGCCGCACTTGCAGCAGAGCTTCGGCCCGGCGCTGGATGGCAAGCCGGGGGAGGAGGCACTGGTGATGCTGCTCGGCAGAATTATTTTGAGCTGAGTGCCAGTCGCCTCATGATGAATTTCGGCCCACCCTCCCGCTTGGCAGGATATGGAATTTGCCAAGCCAAGGGGTTTTAACTGCCCTCAAGACGGAGTATTGCGTGAGCTGCACCACCAATGTTTTGTCGTTGCATCCGTTGCGCGGCGTGGCGGTGATAGTGTTTCCTAACCGCGCAGCCGCTCCGGTGGAAAAAAAGACGCCTCTTCGGCAGCAGCACGATGTTTGTGTTATTTTGGATTCAAAGCCCTGTGTTGATTCAGCACTCCGTATTCTCCTTTAATTTCCATTGCCGGTTCCAAGGAAAGATGAAGACGACGAAGAGGAGGAGGTAAAGGAGGAGGAGAACCAAGACGACGAAGACGCCGTCGGCGACAGCGAGAAAACCGAGGAGGAGGTGGCTTCGGACCAAGCGGTGAGAGCACTCAGGTACGACCTCCTCAAGCTCTTCAGCGAGCCGAAGAGAAGGTTGGAGGTGAAAGAGTGCATCTTTCAGTTTTCGGAGGACAGTGTCTTTGGTCTCGGTCCTGCATCTTGCACGGAGAAACAGTGCATCTTTCTGTTGTCGGAGGACAGCGTCTATGGCTCTCGGTCCTGCATCTTGCACGGAGCGCTGGTGACGGTACCTGGATCGACCTTTTAAGAGCAATGAGGGGCCTGTTCTTATCCAGTCCATTGATGTCCCTGCTCCGCGTTGAAGTGCCAGGCACGAAACCCCTCGAACATCTTCCACAAGTCGAAGCCCTTCAGGCACGGATTCATTCAGGGAATCGCGCCTTGGATGAATTTACCGGCCAATTGGTGCAGTGGCCTATCGGAAAGCAACATGTCCTCGCATTTGTTTTGCCGAGGAGATGCTGCCCCGCAAGGACATGTTCAAGCCTACTGACAGGGGTCTTCTGACAACGGATGTCATGAGCGACAGTCAGGAACAGAGGCAGGCTTCGGCAGATTAAACAGTAATGCATGCGAAACATAACAAGCAAAAACATAGTTGCATAATAGTTTGATGAATAATCATAATAACAATAAATAGTAATAATAAAAAATATAAGCTCCTGAACCCGTATAAACCCTAAACCCTAAGCATTTTTGGTATTTTTTGTTATTGATAGCAGTAAACAACAGTTATTATCTTATTATTATGATTATAGTGGCAGGCGGCACTGCAGGCCGCCGGCGGTGCTCTCCGCCGATTACACCCTAAACCCGAATACTTAACAGGCCCCAAACCCTTTATAATTCCGGTAATTTTCTTCTATTCTCGCTCGTCATTTGTCCTTCTATCCAACCTCCGGCAAGTCAGTGCCGGGACATCCTTCATCAGGGAAACTATGCGTGCCTTGCTGGAGAAGCTTCCGTCGGTGAAGCGAGTGGCCCTGGTGGATGCCTTGGGCTACGACGGATCCGTTCCTCTGGCTGTCTTGGAGGACCGGCCATGAGTTGGTTAAGGGTTTAGGTTCAGTGCCTGGATAGTTTACGAGTGAAGTGATCCAGTCCAGGAGCAGGCGAAGGGTGCGGATTGGAGCTCCGTGACCATCGCGGACACAAAGATTGCCAAGTTGATCGAGGGGAGGGTGCGGGAGCAGGCCTACTCACTTGCCCGCACAGGTACCCTTAGCCTGCCAGGCTTCCCGAACTTTGATGCTTTGACTGCCGGCCTCCGAGAGACTGCGGGGCCGACGAACCTGGATGCGGCTGACTTCAAGGTCACAAGGCCTCTACCAGACGGCGACCTGGCTTGGGTGGAAAGCTTCTACAAGAAGTTCGAGGGCTTCGACGACATATCCGAAGACATTCGCACTGCTATGGAGGAGCACGACAAGAAGTACAACCCGCAGAAGAAGCGGGTGCGCGAGGATGCGGGCACAGATGAGTCGGAGGACTCTGCGGCTAAGCGGATCAAGCTCGTGGAGCACGAGGAGCCCCTCACGAGCAAGCACATCGCCGAACTCCAGAATCCGTTTCTTTGTATGTATTAATTTGTATTCTTTAATTTCATCTATACGTCATCATTGTGAAACTTTCTGTGACTCAGATTACTGACTCATTGCTTCAGGTCGGTTCTGAACGTGAGCGGCACTGTTCGCTTCATCCACGAGATGGAAAGTGGTGACAAGTTCTGGGCGGAGGTGGACGAGGCGACGACCTTCCTTTCCGGCAAGTTGATTGCAAGCTTTGGCAGCGGCACCTTCATGGATGGCAAAGATGCCGCGAAGACGCTGGACTCTTGGATTGACATTTATTTCGAATGGTTGCTTTGAGTTGGGGGTTCAGGGTCCTTGAGGGGTCGATGCTTCCATGAAATTGCGCCTTTCCAGGCAGAGATCGGCAGCGAGGACGACGGCGGGAGACTGTTGAAGTTCCATTTGGACTTCGACAGCCTGTTGATCTTGGAGAAGAAGAAAATCGCGTCGCACCTCGCGGACCTGCCCTATCTTGATAAGCCGACGCCGGTGAAAACGCTTCTCAAAGCCATGGAGGACCATGGGGAGGCGACTGTGAGAAAACCCACCGGTGAGTGTTTGATTTTCTGGAATTAGCTTCATTGACATGTAACCCTTACCCCCATGTCAATTAAACCTAAACCGTAAAGCCTTAAACCCGAAGACACACCGGACCATGAATTGCAAGGCAAAGGTGCAGATCAGTCACCACGAGGTGAACCTTGCGGAGAACTTGATTAACGAAAAGGACCTTCTCCTTTTCGTCTTGGACAGCCTCGAAAGAACGGGCAAGATGATCAAGAAATCCAACAAGAAGAAGAATCAGGACACCCGGATTTCCAATTAGTTGCGCCGTTCCCCCATCCACCCGGTGAGTGTTTTCGTGTGGGTGATATGTATAGACATATAATCTTAATCCCTATAATCCCATGTCAATCAAACCCAAACCCTAGACCCTTAAACCCCAAGACACACAGAACCATAAATAGACTGTCGGTTGTTCCTGCTACAGGCGGTGCCTGCCCTTTCGTGGGGTCGAACACTCGACATCGCGAAGCTGAAGCAGTGCGAATCCTTGGGCATTGCCTGGCACGTCCGGTACGATCGAGCTGCCGAGGATTGGTGGGCCCGCCTGATTCCCTTGCGGCCCGCGCTCGTTCTGAAGGGCCTCTTCGATGTTGAGCCGGGTGTCTACTAGATCATGTAGGTGCTCAGTGCTAGGTGCGGAGAGCGGAAGCAGGCTTCACGTGTATCATCGGCCTCCACAGGCCCATAAGACTAAATAGCAACTCTTCAAGACTTGGTTCTGAGTGAAGCCATGCTGGGGAAGGCTCTGTCGGCCGTTTTGCCACGACGGCGCTCCTTTAAACTCGAAAACCTGCTGGGCCTTGCACTCCATCTGTTTGACAATTGACTATAAGTGAGCCGGCGGAACTGGCAATAATGCAGTTTTCGGCTCAAGTCATGTCGTCTGCCTCCTCGGAAGAAGCTGTGGAATACGTGCCCCCGCGCCCGCATCCGGCGACATATAGTCGGCCACAGTTCAGGCTGGAAGACTACACGTCCAGTCTTACAGCCAACAGCACGGGGCCGAGCGGAAGCGGCCGGGCAGCGGGGGCCTCTCGCGACCCCCTGCCGGAGTACCGCAGGGAGGAAGAAGAAGAAAGAAAGAAGCCGAAGGCGGCGCCGAAGACGGCGAGAAAAAAGAAAGGAGTTAAAAAAGAAGAAGAAGAAGGCTCGGAGTCCAGCGAGCCTTGCACGGACGACGCAGACTCAGACGAAGACGAAAACGACGAGGACGACGACGTGAAGTCCAAGAAGAAGAAGAAGCCGCAAAAAAAACCGGCTGCCAAGACCTCGAAGAAGGAGACAAACAACAGCCGAAAGAAGACGAAGAAGGAGAAGGAAAAGAAGAAAAAAAAAACGCCAAAAAAGTCCAGCGGCAAGAAGAAAGGCCATGCAGAGGCTCGAATCCGCGGGGTGGGCCCATCACATGGGTGTCGGTGAGGGCTTCGCCGTCTGTCAGGGCCCAGATGATGCGCAGACAGAAGAGGACGGATGTTTTCCCCGAGCCCCTGTGATAATGCTCAATCAAGTGACCAGGAGCCATTTCTGGACGAGGTGGCTGCGACTTTGTCCGGCGAGGAGCCGAATCAAAGAGTGAGAAGGTCCCGGCGCGAACTGAAGATTGCCAATTGCCAGGACACCCAGAGTCTGGCCAACCTGGCTTCAGCAGACGAGGTTTCCATGTTCTCCCATCTAGATCGTGGTGCTAGGAACAACATAAAGGTGCTTAGTCTGAGCAAAAGATTGTTACTTGTCATTGTGCATTTTATCAGAATACTGTAAGTCAATTCCTCTAAATACCTTGAAACTCTCGAAACAAATACCGGCGCATGTACCGCCACGACACCTCACTAAGCTAAGGCATCAACTAGAACAAGCCCTTGGCAAATAATGCAAGGCAGCCGTCTTGCCGACCCCCATGGAGCTTCGCCGATCCTTGAGAATGGATTTTGATACAGCGGAGGACATGCCTTCAAATTTGGATGAGGAGTCTTGGTGCTGCCGGTGCCCCGCTTCAGGACGACGTGGTGCGAAACGACACCCAAGAGGCACTTGCCAACAAGGCTACGACGATGTTTTTCCTTTGTTCATTCATGTCAGGAAGAATCCTTCAAAGCAGACACCTCTGATGTGCTTCGGAGCCTCTCCACGACAGCTCCCGAGGACATGGCTTGGATGATGGGTGTTGCTGTTACTGTTACCGTGCCCCGCTTCAGGACGGCATGCTTGAGGATGGCACACAGGATACACTCGCCCACCAGGCTACCGTGAATCTCTGGCCTGTGTTCAACCGTGACTTTTTTTACCTGTGTTCATGTCAGGACTCAACCCCAATGGCGGCTTCAAAGGACACGGTTTGGATAGGTTTGGAGCAGAGGTCTCGGTGTTGCTATCATGTGGTGCCCTCTTTGAGGACGACATGGTGCCAGACGGCACGCAGGCACTTGCCGTGAACCTTTCGTCTTGTGTTCAACGGTGAACTATTTTCCTGTGTTCATGCCAGGACGGGCCCAGCCCAAGTGCGGAGAGATACAGCTACAGGCCGTATCATGGGGTTCTCGCAGCGCTTGGGCGAGCTGAAGAGCAGATGCAGGCGGGGCCAATCCACAGGTAAGGGTTGAACATAGGCTCCTCGAACAATACAATGCAGGTGCTGGAAGAGTGTCTCGGGTTGATGGACAATGCAACAAAAAAAGATGCCGATTCTCAGGACGTCGGTGTATTGAACCTTTTGTGTTCAACCGTGAGTTGGTGTTGCTATCATGCGGTGCCCTGCTTCAGGACAACACGGTGACAGACGGAACGCAGAAGGCACTTGCCGACAAGGCTACCTGAAAAACATCGCGTGAACTTGTTTTCTGTGCTCATATCAGGACACATCCTTCGGAGCGGAGCTCCACCAGAATCCTTATTCCGTGACAGATCATCCGACGGACCGAGATTACATGAATGCAGTCCTGCAAGTGAACTTTTGCTTCCTGTGGACATGTGAGGATGCAGGGCGCCAACCTGAAGATCCCAACTTTACGGAGGACCTGCGAGTTAAAATTCTTGCGAGTGCAGCTCTTTAAACAGAATCATGTTGCTAAGTGTCGCGGCGTGATGGGCCCAGCATAAGTGCCGAGGACGGCAAGCCGTCCTGTGGGCTTCTCACAGCGCTTGGGCGAGCTTCAGAGCAGCTGGACGCCGGGCCGATCCATGGGTTAATAAGTTGAACTTTGTCTGCACCCCCAATGCAGGCGCTGCAAAAGTGTCTCGGGATCGTCGAGACGGCCAACGCACGTGGCGCCGGTTTTGGGGGCGCGCACTATGGCCCGGAGGATGTGCCCAACCCACGTGAGCTGGGATTTGACTCGCCTGAATCCGAGTCAGAGGTGGGCTGCACCCAAAACCCCTGAGCCCAGACCCTAAAACACCAGCCCATCAACCGCAGTCCCTAAACCCCACCCTCCCGGAACCCTAAAACCCTAAACCCCGCAAGCGGTCCCGATGCCGCTGGCGGCTCGCGCCGCCTACAACAAATTAGCCAGGCTGGCTCCAACGCAACAACCCTGAAGCTGGGCCAGTCACGAAAGAGAAAGGCCAGGGCCTAACTCTAAACCGTGGCTCTGTTAGGGTTTGGGGGTTGAGGGTTTAAGGTTTGGGGTTTAGGGTTTAGGTGTTGTGGGTTCATTTCGGGTTTAGGGGTTTAGGGTTTGGGGTTGGGGGTTGAGGGTTTAAGGTTTGGGGTTTAGGGTTGAGGTGTTGTGGGCTCAAGTCTTCAGGGTTTGAGGCTTTACTGGGTTGAGTGTTTTCTGATACTTTGAGGCCTTGCTGTTGCAACCTTAGTCGTGTTGCTCACAATAAAAGAGCAGTTGGTGCTGATACGGTAAAATGCAATTGTATGCACTTGTCTGTTGTTGCTTGGCTGATATTGGGCAGTGCCACACTACACCTGGTCCTGCCGTCCCCCTGCCGTTTTGAAGGCACGTTTCGGCTCATCAGGTTAGCGTGAAGGAGTCTGCTGTCATCATCGTGGTACTTATACTGCACTTAAACTTGCTCTCACGAGGATGAACGATTGGAATGAGGCTTCTCCGGTGCGAACAGATGGGCTCACGGCTTGCACGACTCCGGGCTGCTGGCTGCACTTCCAGGATCACCAGCACAGACCGCAGCACAGCAAGTGCTGCTCAATGTGTGCGGCTACGAACGGACAGCAGCACACACGCCGCTGTCGTAGACATCAACGATGGCTAGCGGGTGGGCCTGATGGCGTGCCACAGCCAAGCCAATTCCGGGTGCTACAATGTGCGACGGAGTCCTGCATCCGGCTCGCAAGCGCTGGGCATCGCACATGCTGCAGCCACTGTGGTCGTCAGGGCAGACATCGGCACCCACATTCTCGGCGATGTGACTGGCAATGGCAGCAATACGGACATGGCTTTCCCGGACGTCCGAAGGCAAATTCCACGCCGGAACAGGCGGCTCCAGTGGAGGGGAATATTGCGGACAGCCAATCGGTGCAGCACACAGCGGGCGCCAGCTCATGTTCCATCACCGCCGACGGTAGACCTGGGGAGGCGGTCACCATGGAGGTGACGGTGGACACGTACAACTTGGAGGCCCTGGACTGACGAGCTGCGGCTACAGCAGATTTTATATTTGGTCCAGCGATCACAGAATCGCCGGGCCAGAAGCTTGTCCTTGGGCATCGCAAAAGACCGTGTGCAGGGAGGAAGACAATGACGATACGACGACTACTGCTACGTTACTAGTCACTGTATACTCACCGCTTGTTTTGAGTGATTTCACAGCTAAAGTTCTTTAAATATTTTGTAGTTAGAGCAAGTGGCGCCAATGCCGCTGGCGGCTCGCTCCGCCTACAACGAGGAAATGAACGATGCGTCACCATTCCAACGCTACTTGTTTCTTTCGCCTATAAACACACGAATTTCGTGACAGGCCCGCGAGAACGACTCCGCCGACGCCGAGCAGAAGCA